GTCCAGTCTGGCCTCTCTACTCCTCTCTGATCCCTTCTGAGGACACAAATCCACACAAAACCCTGTCTGACTCAATAAACACAGCAGAGTTAATGTTATAAAAAGGATTCTTTCAGTCACTGATTCTTTAGTTCACCTTGAATAAAATCACCTTTGTTTTGTCTGAACAGTCTGTGACCCAGGACCGTGTGTCTCCTGCTCGAATGGATGGACCGAATATGACCAATACTGCTACCTGTTCAGGAACACTGCGAGCACCTGGAATGATGCTGAGGTACGGCTTCAGTGTTTATAGGTGATGTGTTGCGCTTGATTCAGTTTAAAGGATGGTTTTGGAGGAATTTTAGCCCATTCCTCTTTCCATCGTTGCACCAGATACTGAGGCCTAAAGAGGACAGATCTGCAAAATCCACTTTAGCTGGTAAACATGTTGTTGGACTTAGAGTGTCTATGAGTGCAGAAAAGTTMAGTTTAGTTTCCTGCTGCTGCACAGATATCTTTAGATTTGTGTCACATTTTTCAGCTCGTTCAGCTTACTTTATTCCTGRGATGTTTTCTGAAGTTTTATGTTTAACTATCTGTGAGGGAAACAAATAAGGTCTGGACTTACAGAATAATATCCTGGTCTTAATTCTCCTCTGGTTCTGAGTCAGGCTCTGGTTCTGAGTCAGGCTCTGGTTCTGGGTCAGGCTCTGAAATCTTTTAATTAAATTGTAAATAAAATGTTTCTACAAGCTAGAAAATGTGTCCCCCGTCAAACCAGAGTGGACTGGTCTGGAAGCCGGAGGGGGAGGAGCTTGAAGCATCTTAAAGGAACAGTAACAAAATGAGCTGCTTTGAGACACAGCAGGAAAGTGTTGAAAGAGGAGCTGGTGAAGTTAGAATAAGGAGGAATTCYGAGCAAAGCTGTAGTRCCACTTAATAAAGACCCAACTGAAGGATTTCAAAGCATCATGTTTACTTTAAATCCAATGGTTTCTGCTCAAATCTTGGCCAGAAGTCTTGTATATCCTACACTACAGTGATGTATTTTCAAATATTTTCCACATAGGATTTCTGCAACCTGTTTGGTGCACACCTGACCTCCATTCAAGGACCGGATCAGTACGCCTTCCTGAGGAGACTCATTGTTGAAACCACAGGAACCAACACCAGAACCTGGGTCGGAGGTACCAACTTACATGATGTGAGGATTTTGTGTTGTTTTTGTTTTAGTAGCAAATGTACAACATAAGGAACTTGATAGTTAGAGAGATTTAGAGTTCTCTGTTAAAACAGATCTGATGTTTGAACTCTAACAGGATGGTGACTGGACGTGGATCGATGGTACCCCATTCACCTTCACTAACTGGGGTCCAGGAGAACCAAACAATGCAGGTGGAAATGAGCACTGCATGGATATCAACCTGAGAGGTACAAAGACAACGTCTCTTTAAACAGACTGAGTTACATTTATGAGTCTCTTTAACTGAAACCATACATTAGAGGTTTTACCTGCTCAGTCTTRKCACACAGGAACAATCTCATCCTACATCACTTKTTTACTTTTTCAATTTTCTTTTTCTTTTTAATTTTACAATAATAAAAAACATAACGTCTGATTTTAATTTTTTTCATTTTGAATCATTTTRTGGTTTTCAGGACAAGATTATGTGAATGATGAAAACTGTGACACAAAGAGCGCCTTCATTTGTGCTAAAAACGAGGCTTAGTTGTGTCTTTGTTGTCTGGACACGTCTGACACAATGATGTCACTTCCTGCAGGAGGTCAGGCCTCGAAGATGTCTCTTCTGGAAGACAAATGGTCAAATCTGATGTCAAAGTCAGATAATTAACATGAATAAATGTGTCTTCTAAAATCTTTTTGTCTTTCTTTGATGTTTGAGTTAAAATTACAACGACAGTTGAGGTGTAGAAAACCACGTCTTCTGTTTTGAAGTTGATCTGTTGTTGCCCGATGAAAGATGACTCTGGAACGAGGCTGGTTTGAACAGCAATTACCTTTGTTTTGCAGTTCAAGAAATACAGCCTAAAACCAAATTGTGGCCTCCAGCCAAATGATTCGCCAAGTAAGAAAGATGGAGAAATGAAGGCCCAAAGTGAGGGTGTACAGGGCTCTTTATACATTTTCACAGATGTACATAAATCTTGTCATGGTATACCTCAAGCGCACCTCTATCCTAATATGGTGACGTGTATCGAACTCTGAAGCTGGACGACTCATGGGCCCCACATCTGTGCATTCCTGAGACAACCCCCTACTGCTAGACACTACATAATTCCCTCCTTCGGGACTAATTGGTCCCGAGAGAAAAACAAGGACTGGCTGTAAATCAAGAAAAGATAACACCAAAGTAGTGCAACACAAGAGCTTTGCTGTTCAAATTCATTGGACAATTACACTCGTCCATTAGCAAATAAGTAAACGGTTCAGTCTAAAATTTAGAGGTTGTCTAATTTAGCTAATAGCCTATTTAAAGTCCTAAGCGCACATTATTTTAAATGACTTTAAAAGTAGGTAAACTAAGCCTAATTTCTAATAAGGTCAAAATCGGCTAAATCAGCCACTCCCCCAGGCCTCCTGACCAAAAACACCACCATGACTGGCATGGACAAACAATCCACGCAAACACCTTTAAAAGTCTGTGTCACTGCAGGGGACCTGAAGGCTGACTCATCACAACACGCCTAAAATGACCCATCACGATCAGAAAAACCTCCCCATGAAACAGGGGTGGGGAAAGACTGCAGGTTCCAGAGAGATCCTCACTCCAAGCCAATCTGTGAAGGAAACTCCATTTGAACCTAACAATTAACATAAACTAATTTTAAGGACTTTTCAATGCCAATCTCGTCCCGGTTTGTTACTTAAGCTAGTAAGGACAAAATGTAATGTGGGACATGCATACTCAAAGTGAGGTAAATATTCCTATGAGACTCAGCTCACTACATGAGATGATCATAAAATGACAGTCAAAAGAACAAGAAACACATAGTAAATGATTGACACAGCAAATAATATGTCATAAAGAATAAAAACCAAAATGATAAACACATAAAAAAGATTATAAGAGTACTCAACAACTGTAGTATTTTTTTCTGTCACCCATGCTGCCTGGATTCAGTCCTGTTCTGTGGCAAAAATGTTTGAGCCATCACAGCTCAGGGCCCAAGTCCTTTGAACTGCCGATTCAGCACAGATTTATGAGTCCTGTCCAAGAATGTGAGTCCAAAGTCCATGTAACTGAATCAGCCTGGTGTCCTCCCGGAAACACAGAAAACAAACCACACCAGTATCTTGCAAAAAATGATAAGTTTCAATACCATGCATGGAAAACGGACTTTATCATCATGTCTATAAAATGTTGATGAGTATAGCATGTTACAAATGTCCCAGAGGTAATGTGCTGTGAGGTGTGAAACTAAATACAGGAGATGTTAACAACAACTTTCTTCTTCAGAAAGCAGAAGAAAAAACAAAAGAAAGAAATTCTCAGAGCTGTGTAGGGGTCACCTCGAGTGAAGAAACAGGAGTTACTGCCTCAAAGCAGGTCTCGCATAGGCCTGAGAGAAGGCAGGAACGCTGAACTCTATTTTAGGCCATGATGGGTCATTTCAACCTACATGAGGACTTCAGTTCTCTCTAATCAGATATTAAACAGAAACAATCTGTTCTGTTCGTGATTCATCGGTTGTTTAACAAAGAATGTTTATGCATCTGTTAATCACAATAATGACATGTCACAAAGAAAGAAAGTATCACTTCTATTATTTTATCGTGCCTAAAATAGATWAATGAATCACAGAAAATCATCACCATGTTTTCATTGTGTTTTTATAAATCACTGTTTTTATTTTACTGAAACATCAGTAATATAATTTTGAGTTTTCTTAAGAAAATCTTACATTTATCTGGACACAGGTTCAGAATGATTATTTAAGCAGAAGTGTTAATTAATCATGACAAATGTTTACAGTGATTTCTTACAGTCTGGCAAAAGAAGCAGAGCAATGACCTTCACTGCCTTCACTGGCAACTCCCTTATCTCTTCTTTTCCTTTCTGACTGAGAGCTTATCTAAGGCAGTCCACTCTGGCTTACTAACACACGGACGCCTTAGAGACACATGAGTCTTCTTCCTGATGCCAACACAGGAGGAGGAGGCTGATTCTCTCCGGAGAAACAGCTGGGCCTCAGGTTTCACCCATCAGCCAAATAGGGGGACCTGAAGTCCAGGGCAAGGAGCAAGCAGCTCCTGCCCACCTAGAGACATATGTCTCATTAAAGTGTTTTCAACTCCTGAGGGGAGACTTTTATTTTAAGAAGACGACCGGAACCACAGCTGGAATCTTTCTAGCCGGGCTGAAACAGACGAAAAGTCACCTGAAAGACACCTTTTCYCCAAGGACCAGTTCTGGACAAGCTTCCTGAAGGGTCGTCGGTGAGACAGCCATATRAGGGGTTCTTAAGCAGACATCTCCAGGTAACYCTGACGTGTCGTGGGTGACGTGTCAAGTTGAAGCTGAGAGCAGAGAGGACGTGCTGAAACGGTTGTCTACAGATTTTCAAAATTAAAAGCAGAAACACTAACCCTTAAATTTCTTACCTTTTCCTACCCTTTATCCTTGCCAACCTAAGTGAAGTGCCAGTAAATTGTTAGTTTAACATCAGAACTGACGTTTTTATTGTTTATATATAGGTAATCTAGGTTTTAATGTGAAGAAAATTCGGACGCGAGTTTTACCTCATTTTAACTTAGACGCTTGTTATAAATAGCTCACAATCAGGTGTAATTTATGATTTTGTTCAATTTGTGTAAATAAATGATTGCATAATCTTTTATGAATCAACTTGAACCAGTCTGAGTTCCCTCATTGTGTCACTTCACTTTGCACAGACAAATGTTAGAGTAATGAGGAAAACCTTGGTAAAATTTACTCTCCTAACTTTGTTATGAGAAGATGTAAGGTGAGCTATTTGCATAAGTAACTCATCCCTTACAGCTGTGACACTTATACTGCTCCTGGTGCTCAGTCAAAAATAAAAGACTGAGTCAAATCAAATTAATAAACAAAATCAAACAAAATGAAAAATAAAAGATATATGTGAGAAGAAAGAAAAAATAACTATTTAGGCAAACAAAATAGGACAATAAACATATCAGTAAATAAAGAGAAAAGAAGAACATTTTATGTGATGTCTTAACAGTTACTCACGGCCAAATGTAAACACTGAAGTAATAAAAGGAAAACAGTATCAATTTTAGCTTCAGACCGGGCTTTCGCCAACACAACAAACAAAAAGACTCTAACTTTCTGAGTAACTGCTGTCCTGTCCATCAAAACAAAACAAACAAATTACATTCATCTTACCTCCCTAGATTACAAAAACAGGAGAAAACTGAGTCAAACAAAAATTGGCACCCGTCCTACATACATTTCCCTTCACAGTGTCAACACACATACCTATTGTGAAGTGTAACCAGACCAAACAAAATACTTAAAATGGGTACATGTCCACAACATCATCACCCTGTAGGTGAACCAGTTCCTCCTCACTCGCATTTCCATTTAATAATGGCATTTGAGCTTGGTTGTCTGACATCACCACTCCTACCCATCTTAAAATCAGGGCTTTTGCAAAAGTCAACAACAGAGTACAAAAACAGAACATCACACATAATGCTAACACCACTGCTATTAGAATTTGAACCAACAAAGCACCAACCGGTCCCAACTGATCTTGTAACCAAGCAGTGTCAGACCAACCCGCACCTTCAGAAGGACCAAAAGCGTCTCTTATGATTGACAGTGCCTCAATTACACTAGTCAGGTTATCTGAGGTATCAGGGATCAAAGTATAACAAGTGTCCCCTGTCAGATTTAATGCCATACATAAACCTCATTTAGCCAAAATATAATCCAATGCCATATCGTGTTTCAACAGCGTCAGTCTGTGACTTCTCTGAGTGTCAGATACTGTAAAAGACTGAACCCTTTCATCGTTTCGTTCGTGAAACGCTGTAAAGTATTTGTTATGTTGTCAATGTGATCAGCAAGAAATGTTACACCATAAAATGGAAATAGTCCTATTCCCCATTTTTCACCCAAAGATATTCTCCAATGATAGGCTTCTAGCTTGTGGAACTAAGCTAACTGTCATGGTTTGTCTGTTTTCACATTAGTTTTCCTAGTGTTTCTGTTTCCCCAGTGTGTCACAGCTCTGCTGCTCCCGATTTGTCTGATTGTCACCCTCGTGTTTCTCACCAGGTGTTTTCAGTTCATCAATTAGTAGTCAGTGTATTTAAGTCCTGTCTCGTCTCAGTCTTGTGTCGGTTCATTGTGCTTTGTCCCCTGCCTTTGTGATCTCCGTGGTTTTGTAAGTTGAGCTGTCCTTACAGCAGTTTTTGTTATCCCTTAATAA